TGCCAAGATGGTGAATTACTATGCTAGAGTGTCCACCTGCATGTCTTCTATGCAGGGACAGAAGAAAAATTTATTCCTTTACAATTTTTAGATGAATCTATCAGTTTTGATTCAGACAGATATACTAAAAATACCCAGCATATAGATGCTTAACCAAACATACACTTTCCAGGATTTTGCAATGTAGTTCAATATCTAACAATAGATATGGAATGGGACAACTTACCACAGTTGACTCACATAACCAACTCACTGAGATCAACATGGGTCAACTCACTGCAGGACAATTCAATGTGGGATAATTCAAGAGAAGGACAAGTGAATGGCAGCAGGCCTTGCCTTGCTTTGGGGTTGAACCTTCTCAAGTTAGAATTCCTCAAGGCTGCAGTGAAACAGAGCATGGAGTCCCAGTGGCCCGTCAGCCAAGGTGTGTGCTCCATTGGCCAAGCTGTGAAGCAAGCATGGCATGCTCAGGTAGTCCCTGCACAAATCCAGGGCAAGGGCAAGAGAATGCCCACCACCGCCACTTCTTCCTGGCATGCCCACTGCAAGGGCCAGCTGCTCTGCTGACATTCAGGTACAGGTCCTCCACCTCCAGCCTCGCCAAATGCAAAGGGGTGGAAGGGAAAATGGTGGGCTTGGGGTTAAGTTCAGTTAAGGCTTGCTGACATGGAAAGGAAAAGGGCAAGATTTGGAGCTGAGACAGAGAGGGGAGAAGGTAGGCATTGGATAGAGAAAAAGCAGACGTACTAGGGAAGATGAAAAAAAGAAACAAGCTTAACCATTCGCCGTGCTCCTAACCATTTCTACTGGAGAGTTTACTTTTAAACAAACTTATCGCTCACTCCTGAAGTAGGCATACAAAATTAGCCTCAAAATCTCACCAGCTAATAACCACCATTTCACCATTTCTTAATTTTGTTTATACAGTGGAACTAAGCAGATTGAAATTGGATGTGTTACTTGATTGGAAAAGCCTCATTTTAGATGATGTATCACAGTTGAATGGTTGATTTGCACAAAAACAGAGTTTAGGAGTTTACAGAGCAGAGGTGGTATTCAGCAGGTTCTGACCAGTTCTGGAGAACCGGTAGCGGAAATTTTGAGTAGTTCGGAGAACTACAAAACCTGCAGTACAGATATTCATACCGTTATGATGTCATGGTATTCTTCAGCTTCTTAATGTATTAATGCAACAAATTTCTCTGGCCTTTTGTGAGAGTTTCTCCATAATTAACATTTTAGACTGATGCACAAGAAGAATCTCTCTAAAAAAGGTTTGCTGTGGAAGGTTGCTTGTTTTATTTTTTAATTACTAATTACTTTGGCTAAACTGAGTACCTTGTGCCGTAAGCAGTGCTATGAATTCATGTCAGTTTGGATATGTGTAGAATCTAAACAGGGGTACAAACAAAGCCTTAACTTACTAACACCTCTTGCCATCATTTTGCCTATCTCTATGTTTTCATGATGTTTTTAGTGTCACTCTTTGCTAAGCTTGTTTTTAGTATGGAAGTTTTTGAGCAGTGTTGGGCTTCAGGGTTTAGTGACTGTGATCTAGACAACAGATTTCCTGATGTTTTGCCAGCAACTATGTCTGCATCCTCAGGGTAACATAGGATGCCAGCCACATCTGCCAGTCAATTATCAGAAAATCTGTTATCTGGACCACAGTCACTAAATCTTGAAGCCCAGCAGTATCCAGCAGATACCAGCTATCAAAGATTACACCATGTTTGCTACTTTGAAGCAGAGGGAAGCCATGGCGTTTCTCATTTTCCTACCATTATTAAGGTTGCATGGTTACATGTTCATGCCACATTCTACTAAATATGCATAGAACATGGGAAACAAATAGGCAGTCATAACTTAAGAGAAGGAATGTGGAATTAGAGTAAGATGGACCAAGGGAAGCAACTAAGGAAAGCCAAATAATGCTGTCGCAATGAATTTCCACCCTTTTGCACCCAGCTTGTAATCACACAAATACAAAAAGGGCAGAACTTGCACAATGCTTGATACTGTTTCTATCCTGTTAATGAAAAACTCCAATTCTGCAGATGTCTCTGATCACAGAAATTCCTACCTACAAATTCATAGAATAGAGCAGAGCAGAGCAGAGCAGAACAGAACAGAACAGAGCTGGAAGAGACCTTGAAGGTCTTCTAGTCCAACCCCCTGATCAAGGAGGAGACCCTATACCATTTCAGACAAATGACTGTCCAGTCTCTTCTTAAAAATCTCCAGTGATGGAGCACCCACAACTTCTGAAGGCAAGCTTTCCCACCGGTTAATTGTCCTCACTGTTAGGAAGTCCTCCTTAATTCCAGGTTGCTTCTCTCCTTGATTAGTTTCCATCCAGTATTTCTTGTCCTGTCCTCTGGTGCTTTGGAATCCTGGATGATATTGCCTTTACTCCCCCTCGTGCATGTGCGCTCCTCTGAAATAGTAATATCACTTTCCAATAAGTCCACTATAAAAATGCCACAGAAAGGGTGAATTAGAAAAAAAAAATCACAAAGCCCAGAGAATGCCTTTTTGGACACAAACCTCACTTTGCTTCCATATAAATGGTACATACCTATAACTGAAAAATTGCAAACAGGGTCTGGGACAAAAAGACTCTTGCCTGAAACAGTAGAAGATACCTGCCAAAATTCTCAGCTAGTTCAAAGATTATATTATAATATATCTCAATATAAAAAGATCTTATTGCATCTTTAATTTTTAGCTAAAACTAAAGATGTTTGCAAAACATCACCCAGAAGAGTTTCAATATTATATAGGGATGAAAGGATGAATCTGGTGCTTATAAATGTTTAGTTCACATTCCAATCACTATAAGGGATTTAACTTTATTGCTTTACTTATGCAGGCAATCAGTTTCACGACAGTCAAATCCATTCTTATTTTCCCCATTTTAAAAAAATTGCTTAGGATCTGGACCATGTACAATTACATCTGGAAGAAGTGAGGTTCTTTGATTTATTCAGTTACAATGAAGACGTGGGCGCTTGGCAGTGTTTCATGTGTAACAATCCTGACAAGGCAACAGGTAAGAGACTTTTCTGCAGAAGAACTGAGTCATATAAATAACACAGATTCAGAATCTAATAAAGGGTGCTCTGCATAAAATATCTGAATCATGCAATTAAGTTATTAACAGTGAGAGCTTGTTTGCTATAGTAGCTAAGGTTTACCTTTGTCTTGCTTGGAAAACTTGGCTGTAACTTGACCTAAGCAAGGTTACATCGTCATCCTCATCATCAGAAAAAAAGGAAGAATAAATTAAGTTAAATTAACATTTAAAATGAAATCTTTTTGGATAGTCTCTTAATATTTTCAGTCTGCCAGATCACTTTTACAGTTGTATTTTTACCTGTGAAGTTTGGCCATTTCCATATGGCAGATTTCAATTATTGACAAGTTTTGTTATTTTTCAGATCAATAAAGGGTATGCCATGCAGTGAGTAAATGAAACATAAAAATTAGGATGTTTCATTATTTTGAGATTCTATCTAATTCACTTCTCATAATGACAGAAGAGCTTCTACAAGCAGAATCAGAAGAACACAATTCTCTTTCGTTTCCTCCCACAAACTTTTCAATGCCTTCAAAACCACTTTTAAAAAATTTCTTAAGAATAGATTAGGATGGAGAATATTATTCTAATAAATAGAGAGAAGTTTTGTCATAGTATACAATATAATAGAATTCTGTATTGAATACTAATATAATTATGAGGTTTCAGGATTTACAGAGTGTGAAAATATAATGGCCACATTCAAACATAGAATCTAAAATTTGAGGTTCCATATTTGACAAATTTGATGGCTGTGGCAATTCCACCACACTGGAGGAAATTCAATAAATGCCCTTGGTACTTTTCCTTTAAATAAACATGTAAGATGTGTTTATTTTAACATTCTTGATGCTGCTATTTTACTTTTTTTAACATTGATAGTTAGCAATTGTTTACATAAGCTTAATAAAATTTTGCCAAGCAAATCAAGCATTTTTTTGTTCTGTAGTTTTTTTTTTAAACTATTAGTTTCGTTGATTTCTATGTCTTAAAATGGAATTGTACTAATTATTGTTTGGGGCCAATATGTTTGTGCTGGAAACAATTCACTGTTTTGGACAGATGGAGTAATGAGAAATAAAACAGTTGCCAGTTAAAATGACTTGCTATCTGAAGATGTGAAACCATTGAAATTATTCAGCAGGATGGAAACAGCTGGCAATTAAGGAGTTTGGACAACTTTTTAATGCTGACTATTGGCTATTATGCAGAGATGAAAACTTTTTTAAAATCCCACTAACATCATACAGCCTTGCATCCGTGAAGTGCTTTTTTATTGTATTTCAACTGGCTCAATTTTGCTTCAGAATTGATTCTATGACATTTCCAAAGACAAATTTATTCATTTTCCACAGTAGCACATCTGTTTAATGGTATGATTCTAGACTGAGTTATTATTTGGTTAAAGTGTTGTTTTTTGCAATGTCTAAACAAAGTAAATTAAACTGAAATCATAACCACACCAACAAGAAGAATTTATTATGGATATTAGTAAGAAGATAATAAGAGTTTCAGTAAAAGTAGTGATGTTATTCTTTTGTTCTGAAACATATAATACAAATTCAAACATTATAATATTATGGCATATTTTGATCCTAATGCCCTTTCTTCAAGATGTGTACTAAAAGCTCTTAAGAGTCTGCACAATCAAATTAACTTTCAATCTGTTTCCTTCTATTTCTCTTCGCTGTGTCCCACAATTCTACATGGCTTATCCCAATTCTAAATTTATGTATGCTTGTAGATTTTTTTATCACCTTATATTTTACTCTTCTGCTGTTATTTTACCCAGGGTAGAAGTAATAGCTAAAAATACATGTAGAAAGTTGGTACGTATTGGTCCTACATGCTTAATTAAGTTCTACTTCATTGATCAGTGAAATGTTTGTTGACATAACTGCCTACAATATTCACAGTTACACCAATTTTATTTATGTTCCCTGTTGTTTCTATGCATTACAAATTTAGGTTTCCATTCAACTACACTGGCTTTTTTGAAATGTTCTGTAGCTAATCGCTTTTGGCAGCCCATGGTAGCAACATATTATGTTTTATACAGTACATGCTCATAGGAAATATTAACTGTGAGGTCTTTGGTGTTCTCTGACCTTTATGGTTTTCTTGTAGATGTTTCATTATCATGCTAAATAACATCAACAGTCCTAGAAAGCAGTGTGGTTTGGAATCAAGAAATTTTCAGGAATATTTCCACAAACACTTGACAGGGCAAGCCACTAGTTATAAAAATAAGAGCAGACCCCACTCCCTTTTAGCACTGACAATGTTGGTAATGAAACACCTGCAAGAAAACCATCAAAATCAGAGAGCACCCAGGACCCCACAGTTCAACCTGGAGTTACAAACATTCTCTTCTATTGGTAATTGAGCAACTTCTACTCAGTCACTCTGGTTCTTCAAATGTGATCAGAAAAATCATCCCTGTGAAGGTAATTATTGTTACTTTCATGGGTGCATGCCCATAAAATGGTGGTCTCCCCTATCTTTCCCAAAACTATTCAGCTCTAGATAGTCTGATGGTTACTATGAAGATGCAGGAATGCCCACATGGAGGCAAGCACAAATGAATGGAGAAGGATGGTCACTGATGAGCAATAGGTTCTTTTTTTTTTTAGTTTAAATGTCTTAATATATTGATTGTATATAAAAGTCTGAATATTGCTTTTGCAGATGTGGATTCTTAACTTCTTAGGAGGTTGTCAATATCCTGAATTTCCTAAAGAGCATGTGGTGACTGCTTTTGATAGTTCTTAGGAACAAAGTTCAGCTTAAAAAGCCGTTTAAGAGATCTAAATGTATATAGTTTTATCAATTCCTGTCTCTCTCTGTTATTTAAAAGTAACCAAAGAGAGATAGTGGGAGCACCAAACACTCTAATGTAGAAAATACTGAATCAAATGTTTGACATAAGAAAACAGACTATATCAGGGGCTTTCTTTGCTCATTTCCTGCTGTCATAGCCAAAAATGAAATAGATTTATTTTCTGAATAGTCATCTGCATATGGAGAGCATATTTTTTGCAGACCACTACAATCCTCACTCTTAAAATATATTTTAGAGACCATGTATATTCGTCAGCATGACTCTTTCTGGATATGTTGTACTACAATTCCCATTGTTCCTAGCCAGGAGATCTGGAAGGGCCTGATAGGACTTTGATCTTCATCTAATAGTATATTATTCAACTTACACCACCAACATATCTTTTATTTGTTTATATTACATATCTCATTCTATAAGTACAAAAATGCTATGTAATATCTGTTTAAAAAATAGCTTATCTATTTAGTTATGTATCTTTTGCTATGGACATTAGAGCAAGAATAAGAAGGGGAGAACATGAGATTCCATTTTTGGTGACAGTTTATTTTGATATCTATTTAATGAAAGTTTTTTAAAAACACGCACACACAAACCACTAGAATCTTACATCCTGTTTCATCAGTTTAATCATGAAATACCCTGAAGACAGAATTTGGACATACACGAATGCCATTTACACATACAATTCCATTCATACCATATAGACTCATTCATATCATACTTACTCATTTATGCATTATATACACATTCCATTCATATTCCTTTTACATCCTTCTCCTCAGTCAAAAACACAGATTTCCATTATTTATCAGGATTAACAAGATCACTGTGTCTTCTCTGTTTTTCCTCCCATCCCTACATTTTCCCTCATCCCTATTTCTAAAAGAATTAATTAGGATTTTCTAATGAATACTGTGAAAAAAAAACTCTATAACTGACCATGGAATACTTTAGAGAACCTTATAATGTAATTTCTGTCTAATGTGAGTTTGGGTTGAAACTTGCAACAATTTACATTTCAGCATTTTCTTTACCTAAACCTATATATAGTGGTACTGATGAAGGAGAATATTTGTAGCTCTGGATTGAAATAAGGGGTTCTTGGTGCGCTCTGAGCTTGGTTGTTTTCTTGCAGATGTTTCATTATTCTAACTAGGTAACATAATCACTGTTGGACTAGTACTGATGATGTTGCCTAGTTTGGGTAATGAAACATCTGCAAGAAAACAACCAAGCTCAGATCACACCAAGGACCCATCAATGTATAGTGCTTAGTAAATAAACTGTAAATAAGTGAAAACTATGTTATCTAAATTAATTATACAGTTCAATCCAAAGTTCAGCTAGGGGGACAAAACAATCTAAGCAGGTTCAGATCAAGAGAGGAGTCCATCAGAAACATCAAGGTCATGCGCTAAATTGAGAGGTGAAGCAGGTCATCCTGGATGAAGGCAAAATGCTTCCATGTTTTTGCCAAAACCTATGTGGATATGTATAGGTAGTGAGCAAGAGCCAAGGCTCATTCAAATAAAACTTTACTATTTTTTTTTAACTACAAAATGTGTTTTCCAGGGCTGAAATAGCTTTGAACAGTGGGCTGCCCACCCATGATTTATAATGTTTTAAACAGCAACTTTTTATTCCAGTGCTTTTCTTTAAATCCCTTCCTATGTAATCTTATCATTAGAAGAGAATATATGTAGATCAGTGTTGAACTGTGGAGTCTTTGGTGCTCTCTAAGTTAGTCAGATAAGGAAACCTCAAATCACCAGGTTGTGACAGCATTAAGGACTCCATAATCTCATCATACAGAATGCTTTAATTTGCAATAAATTCAAATAAAGCATGTGCTATGATGTGACAACATTGATCGATTTCAAGAAGCAAAGGCAAGTTGGACGAAGTTAGTGTTGGATGGAAGACCATGCAGAAATGTTACGGCTATAACCTGTTCTGGGAAATTTAAAAAAAAAGCAACAGAAGGCAGCAAAAAAGAAGGTCTTTCTATATTGTTGCCAAGAAAACTACATGGACATAGCTACAGTACAAGAGCCAGGATGAACTTGAAGGAGAATTTATCTTTATCTTACAATCAGGCCTAAAGAAAGGAATGATGGATCCAAGAGTCAATAATCACTATAACAACTGCAGAATGTATTTGCAGGGATAACAGATTTCTTTTCCATCTTTCATCCATTTGTTCTGTAGACAGCAGTTCATGAGTCATGGTAGAGTTTTCTACAAGTCTATTTTCTGAAATAGCCTTATGGTTATATCTGTCATGGGATCAAAACACAAGCAGCCAAGAACTGATATTGCTTTCATTAATGCTAGTTCTACCTTCCAATAAATCCACGGATGCTATTCTACCTAATTTACAAAAGCTTAAAGGGAAAGAATTGGTTGAGTGAAATTGTGAAGCTGGAGGCTTTATGGGAATGGTGTCAAGAATTACAGAGCTGATTAAAAAATGTTTCAGGACATTCTGTTTCCTTGATCATTTCTTCAGGCACCTTTTGAAATGCTGGTCTCCATGCTCAATGTCTCCTGCTTTTTGGAGAAGATACAAAAGGTATTTTAAGATGGTCAGAAAGATATTCCCTGTTCTCTATAATTTTCTTCCCGTACAAATTAGGGCTTTCAGATTTCAACTACAAAAGTCCAGATAACCACAAATGAAAAAAAGAATTAAAATTGTGAACAACTCTGATCATCTGGTCTTCATTTTAGTAGGTCTGATAGCCCTATTACAAATACAATGGTTCATGCAGCTCGTAATAACATTTGGGGCCAATCTTATAAGAGTAAAGTAGAACTCACTTCTACTCTATCCATTTAAAAATGTAAATAATTTGTAAAAGTTTTGAATGTTTCAATATCTCCAGTAATTTGTGTCATAATTTTTTAAAACACTAGCTTGGAAACCAATAATTCTGTTATACAAGTTTAAGCTTATTGTTATTAAATAATTTCAGGCTGGCCTAGAGTGACCTCTAAAACTAAAATACAATGCATTATATTCTGTCTATTGTTTCAGATTTATGTTTGTAGAGAGCAACTCAATTTTAGGCTAAATTTATACCCATTTATATGTATGTAGTTAAATCCAATTTTGTTGTTCTTATTCAACATTTAAGCCAGATTTTTCCATGATTGCTGAGAGTATAAAAGATAACATTATATTATTGTGGAGATTTTAGATTGGTGTGACTGATCAAGACACCTTTTAAGAATACAGATGGAATTTATGAAAGCTTTTCATAATTTTAATACTCCTTGCAAATGAAAAAAATTTCTGTCCTCATATGCTTGCTTCAGTTTGTATAGATTTCAGTTGAAGAACATTTAAAATTTCCCAAATGTGCATTCATTTGCAGTCTGAAATAGTATTGTACATTCTGCCATGTCCGCTTTTCATCACAAAATTCTTAATTTTCTATGCTTTATATACCCATATTGATGAATGAAGGACCTTTGGCAAGGGTGTGGTACATGAAAAGTCACTATATTTATTTCTATTTTTGCTGACATTTATGACATTGCAGAAAGATTCCCCTAAAAGTAATATGGGGGGAAATGTTTACTGCTAACTTTGACAAATATTTAAACATTTACTCTCCTTAATCATTTCCACATAAACATGAGTTTAGAGAACATTTATATATATAAAAAGTCAGTTTATGTTCATACAGAAGAGGCTCCAAGCACTTTGAAAACTAATTGAAGTGATGATAGATCAAAAGTAAATCTGAACCTTTTGGGGACTTATAGTTTATCTAAAATTTCTGATTTCAAGCTGTTTAATAGTAATGAGGCATGATCATAATTTGTAATTGCATTTAACATTCCCAATAGAACTACAACTTACAACTACAATTGAGCGCAAAATTTCTGTGGCTAAGTGAGAAAGCAGTTAAGTGAGTTTTTATCCACCTTTACCATTTTACCACCTTTCTTGCCACCGTTGTGAAATGAATCACTGCAGTTGTTAAAGTTAGTAACACTATTGTTAAGTGAATCTGGCTTCCCCAATGATTTTGCTTGTCAGAAAGTCACAAAAAGAGATCCTGGTCATAAATATGAGAGTTATGACTGTCATAAATACAAGTCAGTTGCCAAACATCTGATTTTTGATCATGTGACCATGGCGATGGCACAATGGTTGTAAAGGTGAAAAGGATCATGTCACTTTTTTTTAGTGCCGTTGAAATTTTGAACTGTTTTAAGTCTGTACATTTGTACAGGCAATGTACAAACCTGTACATTTTTCTAAATAATGGCTAGAAGGGCCAGTACAATGAGAAATCCAGTTCATGAGTATGGTTAATTCTTCCTTTCTGCTAATGGGTATCCAAGAAGAGAAAGGGATTTTTAAAAAATCAACATGGCAGCTGTGACTGAAGAATGGATGCCCCACTCCTTTCTTAGGTACATCCTGGAAATGGGTCATCAATTGCACAATTACAATTACATATTGGCTTTTTTTATGCATGTGCAGCTTGTGGACATCCCTGCTTTTGTTACAGCCTCAGTTAAAATATCCTCCAAATTGTAATTGACCCAGGAGCAGAGCTGGGAAGGTCTGGAAAAAAAAGCCCAGAAAAATGGGGAGGGGGAGGACAGGTTTTTTTCTGTTTTTTTTTTCCAAAGCTGGCTTGGAAAAAAAACAGAAAAAACCTGCCCGCCCCCCTCCGTCCCCCCAATTTTCCAGGTTTTTTTCCAGGTCTTCCCATCTCTATCCAGGTGGAAATCTTCTACTGGTATGAAATAAACATAACCAGAATTTTTTCTAGGGTTGGCAACGCAATAATTATAGGCATTACGCTGATTACCCCATTTGCAGATGGGATCTACAGATTCCAAAATTAAATTTTAGAAAACAAAAAAGAGTTAGCTAAATCTTATGACAGTCCATGCCCCAGTCATCTCCAAGGTCAGATGTTGGCACTTGTAAAGACTGCTGGTCCAGAATCTACGCTATATGAAGACTCCTCTTGCTTGAGCAAACAAGGGTTGGGAAGCCTGGCTGTTCTTGATCCAGCAAAGCTGTGCTGGACCTGGATAGAGACCATCAGGTCATCCCTGTACTCTAAACTAAATTAGGAAGTTGAAAAACATCCCAAAGCAAGCACTGACAGCACTTCTGTTTGTTGCTGAGACCACGACATGGATGTAACCTGGCCAGCCTTCATTGTACTTAAAAACTAAACAGAATTAAATCTGTTTATTATTTGGATAAGACACTACTAGGAAATCTCAGAACTGTCTGTTAGACTGGGAATTTTTTTTAAAAAAAAAAAACTCTGACAAACTATTGGAAGTAATAAACTACCACTAAACTTGTGCCAAGTGCAATTTTCTTTTGCCAAGAAAATTGCAGGATGATGTTCCAGAGTAAAGTATGATTCAAGATTTATTTATTTATTTTGTTGATCTGATATTGCAGTTTCTGTTGCAGTTTGATAAGGATATGTATATATAGATATAATAACTATGTACTTATTTGACATTACTGTATGGAATTTTCCATGTAACAAAAATTGCCCTGGCCACCAAATAAGTAATAAATTCTGACATAGCTAAAATATCTTGATGCTTCGTTAAGACTCACTGTCATGACGGATTCAGAATGAGTGACATTGTTAAGTTGGTTTGTTTTTACATAATGTGTTTAAAGTATGTAACTTTTTGTATAGTCAAAAGCTTTTGTATCCTTATCGACAGTACAATACTTTGCTGAATGAACATAAAATTTTTGCTTTTATCTGCGTAATGAAATGTAGTGCCAGTAACTTTGGATAAGAGGCATGCTTATAGCTCTGAACCAAAGGCTTCACCTGATGCCTGAAATCCTGTTAAAAAAACAAAAAAAGGCTGTTTCTATTTAAGAAATGAAGTTCTACAACAGAGAGGTTATAAGGTTACTGTATGAAACTCTACATGTTTAGACAGCTTAATTGCAAAGAAAATAGGAGTTCCTTCAGAAAGAAATATTTGGAATACTCATAGTATTGTGACCTTTAAACTTTTCTATTTTAATTAGTGCCACATATTTTCTGGCATCTTATCTAGCTTTTGAAGTCGGCATCACTACACAACCTTGTATTTATCTAACTATGTACCCTGAAAGTTAAAAAAAAATATAGAACTCTGGGGCTTCCTCAGTTCTCTGTGATATACTAGCATTCTCAGTAGAACAGTATTACTCAAAAAAAATGTACTTGGATCTCATTACAATGAACCTCTTTTCAAAGCTCTGACTAAATTCAACAGTATGTCCTGCTGCAAATCTCCTCCTCTTTCTATTCTTGCACAAGATTGGTTGGAAACAACCAGCTTTTGCCAAAGTAAAGAAAATAAAAGTAGGAATTTTACCCATTTCTTAGAATTATTTCCTTTCAATGAAAAAAGAAATACTAGAGTAAATCAAGCAAATGTACATATCTACATGTCCAAATCAATTCTCAGAATTCCTTCTCTATTCCCCTATTGAGGGATGAATAGCAATCAGTAAATGTAAACAAGAGAGGAATTTTTTATAACTTGTCTCCAGAGTTGTCATAAACTTTATAAAAAATGATGAAAACATACTCCTGACTTTCCTTTTTTTTAGGAGAAGGACCAATTTCTTTGTGATTCCAGCTTATTAAGGGGAAGTTGAGTCTGTATCTTACAAAGATGCCATGGGGGCGGGGGGGACACAACTTATTTATGAAATAAGCCATTCGGTAATATTTTTAAATATCCACAGTTGTGAATCAAGATGGCCAGCCACTGATTGAAGGCAGGTTGAAAGAAAAGCAAATCCGATGGAAATTCATAAAAAGATGGAAGACTCGCTATTTTACACTTGCTGGCAATCAACTTCTCTTTCACAAAGGAAAATCTGTAAGTTGAAGAGAAAAAAAACACACTTTTAAAAGACTTCCTGTATTCCCCAACTCTGAAAATGATGATGATTCTTTAGCATGCACTACAAATTTAGGACATAAGAATATTCCTAAATGAAATCCATCCATCCATCAGTATTGTTTCATAGCTGTGGATCCAATTGGTCCTTAAATATGTACACTGCTTTTTCAAAAAGAGTAAGGATAGTCTGAGTTACCATTCTTAGGAATAGCTCTATCATGAATGGTAAGGGCAGAACTGTTCAGTTTTTGCACATTTAAGGAAAAATGTTACAAGCAAAACCCAATCTTAACCCAATCTTCTACCCAAGGTAGATTTCTAACCCAGAGTCTAGCTTGCAAGTCAATATATGGTTGCTTGCATCCCACTAGTTAGGTTTATGTAGCGTACTGACATCTATTCAGCTGGTATCACCTAATCAAAAAGATATGAATTTATGAGTTTAGAATATTAAGGCCATAAAAGTTACCTTGTTCCCAAATGTGTGCATCAACATCTTCTGCAGCTGTTATTATTATTATAGTTAATTTATTTATAAATTATAAAATATATTATTTTAACAGTTTTTCCTATGATTTCTGATTCAAGTAACATGATTATGATTCATTCATCAGCTTTTTCATGTATTGTGATTCTATTGGGGTTTAAAAGTGCAGGTTCACAAAAACAGCTTTGCCTTTTGAGATTTAAGACCCACTTTGCTCTAATATTTTAGTTTTGAATCAAATGATTTGCCTTTCATCCTCTCCTGTTTAGTTTTTCTATATATTGAGTGACTGGGACACATCTACTGTGGCAATCATTTTGTGAATGAGTGCACTCGGCAGCAGCCATTTTGGTAATGGCATCCATGACATATTTTTTTTAAAGTGACTAGTCCTCAAAGGAGAGAGCTTTGCTCTACAATGCTATATGCAGAAGCTACTCCCTTTAATATATTGACTTTTGCAGAATGAACATTAGTTATATTCCTAAGCAGCATCTCTCATAAAAGTTCCATTATCATTTGTTCTCACCTTCTGTAAGGTAATTGCTTCAGCATGTGACAGCCCATGTTCTTATGGACGTGCCTAGCTTTACCTATATGATATCTCTATTTTGGTAGCTCCATTGGCTGCCAGTTACCATCTGGTTGCAATTTAAGGTGCCTTTGTTATATTTTAGGCCCTGCATGGCATAAGGTCTGGACATCTCCAACATCATTGATAATAGGTAGAATCTGCCCATCCATTTGGATAAGGAAGGAAAAACAGAGTCCTGCCACTGAAAGAATATCATCTTCATAGACCCTGATGTTGAGTCTTCTCAATGATGGGTTCCCTATTCTGGAATAGCAATCCCAAGATAGAAGAATTGCTCCAAGTTTTTAAAGAGCCCTGAAGACCTAATGGAAAGAAAGGTTGAACTAACTCCTGGGCACATTGGTGTGATGGAATAGGAACAGTTGACATATCATTGGCTTATATTACTTAACCTGGTTAATGTGTACACTATTTTAAGTTGTTGGGAGTCTTCTGAATGAATTTACATAAAAGATAAAGGAAAATAAGCTTCAGCTAGAGGAGTGGCAAATGAGGAAAGAGATATCTCACTAGTAGTTTGTCCTCAATCTTCTATGGCTGTATTGGGGAAAAGAGAAAGAATAGGCAAAGGTCAGAGAAGCAGATGACCAAGTGGTGGTGGCTGGACAAGGACAACAGTAGATATAGAAATCAGAGTGGGTGGGTGTACATTCTGTCTAAATTGAAACTTGGAAAATTGCCACTTTCATTCCCTCCTCCCTCTCTCCTCTCTTTCTTTTCTTTCATACAACCACTGGTTAAAGGAAAAGATGTTACCAGTGTAATGAAATCTTGTCAGTGGTGCTCTCGTAAAGAAGCTAATGAGACACCAGGCAGGGCTAAAATAACTTTGTTTTTCTGAAACTGCAGCTTTTGATCCAGATAGTGTGTTTGTGCACTAGCAAGCATAACTGACAAGGAGAGTTGGCTGGATTAGTATAAGAATAAGAACTATGGGTAAAATAGCAGGAGAAGCCATAGAGGAGGAAAAAGTAGCATGCCTGTCTTACATAAAATTCATTGTGGGGAGCATTAAAGCATTGGTGAATTAACATTGAGTCTTTCCTCTGCTTGCCTCTCTACCAACATTTATTTGGTAAAATATGGAGCTGTGGTGGCACAATGGTTAGAATGCAATGGTGCAGGCTGACTGTCCACAGTCTGGAGTTTGATCCTGACTGGTTCAAGGCTGATTCAGCTTTCCATCCTTGAGGTTGTAAAATGAGGACTCAGATTGTTGAGGACAATATGCTGACTGTGTAAACAACTTACAGAGTACTGTAAAGCACTGTGAAGCAGTATATAAGTCTAAGTGCTATTGTTAGTGTTATTGCTATTTATTTTAACAGTGTTAAATGACAATGAGCCCATTACAGGGGGCTGGAATTAAAGCCAGCTGAATATGTTTCTGTGCCCGACTGACTATGAGAACAAACAGAACACTTCTTAGTTCAAGATTATCAGATGGGCATCTTTCACATGCATTAAAAGTATTTAAAACCTAGTGGGAAAATTAGCCAAATCCTACATCTCTGGCTTCATTTAGAAGAGTATTGTAACATGTGCACTAATACTGAACAAGGGGGATAATCATACATATTGATATCTTAGTAAGCACCAATTTCTAAAAAAAACAGTTCCAGTGAAACAAATTGTTTTAGAGATTTTTCCATACATGGTAAATTGAGCTTATACTGCAGTACCGCTATTTTATATATTCATTAGAGCTAAACTGCACTTTTTATTCTAGCAACTCAAAGCTGCACAGATAGCATTTTTACTTTCAGAGATAGGCAATGACCACCCCTAAGTCAGCCCAGTTAAATTTCAAGGATTAAGGTCAATCTCAATTTGATACAACAGTCTCAGTTCCATAATACACTGGTTTCTCTTTGTTCTTGCTCATGTAGAAGCTTAAAGAGTTTTGGCAGAAACTAATGTTAACTAATGTTTAATATGACATTGCTCTCTCTTTTTCACACCAGCATCTTGGAGCATAGTTGTCTGAAGATAGTGAGGATAAGATGGGGAGAAGGGGACAAATGATTAATTGTGCATCATGATGTCATGTGTTCTGACCTGGCTCCCAAACACGACAAACTCTCTCTAGTTAAATAAATGATTCCTTTAGTAGGAGTGCCAGCAGCCCCGGGGGAAAAGCCTCTCTCCCTCTCACAGCAGGCTAACAAGTGTGTCCGGCAGGGAGATGAATAGTTGTCTACCACACCTATTCATCTCCGCCCCCTGCCTTTTATCCCCAGAGCTAGGATCCTTAAGATGGAAGAGCCATCTTCGCTAGCAAAGATGGCTCTTCCATCCTAAGTATCGGCCCATAGATTTTCACTGCTCTCCTCTCCTCTGCCTTCTGCGCATCCGTGCATCAGGCACTGGACCCATCTGTTCCTCCTCTTCCTCATCAGCCACCTCCAGACCTGGGGGCTATTGACTCTCATCTGAGAGCTGATGGACGGCCCAGTATCCGCCTCTCTCTCTATCCCTGACAGCTCCATTCCCTCTTCCCCCTCGGAGTGCTCAGATTGCCTTGATGGTGGCCCTGACTCCCACCTTCTGATTCAGCTGCTGGAGGGGCCGGCAGCCAACAGGCCACAACATCATGGTGCAAATACTGGAATGTATATATTTGCATCAGACATCAGGAAGTAAGTGCATTTCGGTGGAATTTCAATAATGGCAACAGTGCACATGAGTCATTATTTTAGCATAATTTTTTGCTGTGGATATCTCGGAACCTGAATGGCTGTTAAACTACTTTGGCTTGTTGTCTAGGTGAAGCTGGGATGAAAGCACTTAGACTGAACAAAAGGATTAACAATAACAATTAACAATGCATTTTTCTGAAGAGAAATAAAGCTTTGTTTCTTTCTCCATTGCTCTTTCAGAAAGATGATCCAGATGATTGTCCCATTGAACTGAGTAAAGTCCAGAGTGTCAAAGTGGTAGCCAAAAAGCGCCGAGATCGCAGTCTTCCTCGGGCCTTTGAAATCTTCACGGACAATAAGTCGTATGTCTTCAAGGCCAGAGATGAAAAAAATGCTGAGGAGTGGCTACAGTGCATTAATGTGGCGGTGGCACAAGCTAAAGAACAAGAAAGCAGAGAAGCAACCACATATTTGTAACATCTATAGATTTGCTTCTGTTTTCTTTTTCATAGATAACCACATAGAGTATCTCAATGTTTGAATTGCAAAATATATTATACGGGCAGTGTAATATGTTTTGCAATGAGAAATGGCACCACTGAAGATTTTTCATCTTCATGAACTTTGGATATCACATAAACTAGTTCTGTGTGTTCATAGAGCTGAGACCATCAAAACCAGAAATGCCTGTTCAGGGGCTGGGCCCTGTTGAAGAGAAGGAGGATGCGTACATAAGTATTTAAATAATTGCAGTTATTGAGAAGCAACTTAGGAACTGATTAGCAATTTGCTTTCAATTCATCTTGGCTGTATTTTTAGTGCATGCTTATACCACATTTCTTTGGAGTCACATACATGAATTCCAGGTATGACAGCAGTTCTATTTTGTCCTGACTAACTCCCATTTTTTTGAGTATCTAAACCTGCCATTGTAAAGTACTTTCACTGAACCCTAAACCAAGTCAGTTGGCTGGCCACCATTGGATGGGACAAAGTTTGAAAGTATTTCCCCACTCTGAGATAATAGGCTACAGTTTTCAGCTTGTAGGTTCAGTGATTTAATGCTAGTCATGAGTACATGTGCAACAGAGAAAAAGATATTTGTTTCAGATTATGAAAGAAATCAAACTTGACTATTTTATACTTTTTGCTATTCCACCTGCCACTTAGCAGAAATATGAATCCATTCAAATCAGTGTAATTCATACATGACAACTGAAGCATATGATTTCTTGAATCTGCTCCCAAGTGCTATATTCTAGTTGTCTAGTTGCAAATCAACCATTTCTGGAGGAAGAGAGGAGTTGAAAAAATTGCTGCCATTAGTAATGAATGTACAGCCTCATGTTCATTAAACATAGGTACAAATCTTATCAGCTTTGACTTTATGAATTATGAATTCAGGTCTTTGTTAGTCTGCATGACCTCAGAAATGTTATGTCTGCAGCTAGTTCCTGTGGCATTTAGATAAGGAAATCAGCTGATAACAGTCGAAGAAAAAGTATTGATGGCCTTATCTGTAGAAACTTTTCACAGTCTAGAGAAACATTTCAACCAAGCAAATGTTCTGATCATATTGTGTTATATAAATGCTTATTATCAACCTCCTTAAGATATATAGTTGATTTCTTGTAGCTTTAAGATGTCCTTCTTTCTCCCATCTCTCTAGTTTCCCTACCATCGTTTATCTGGATGGGAACATAAAACAAACTTAATCATGCCTTCATGACTTAATATGTTTTTTTAAAAAACCCTATTTTACTCCACTTAAAAAATGTTCAAAATGAGGTGAGTGACTATGCATGTAAATGAAAATGAATAAATTATTCAGAAGTTATTGTTGAATATTTATGGAGATTCTTAGTCATCCAAATCATAGCTGTCCTTTTTTAGGTGCTTTTTTAAGAGGCAACTGGACTTTCTTGGGTTTTTTTGGAAGATGTTTCACTTCTCATCCAAGAAGCTTTTTTGGCTTCTTGGATGAGAAGTGAAACATCTTCAAAGAAAAACAAGAAAGTCCAGTTACCTCTTGAAAAAGCACCTTTGGGACAATTTATTGATGATTTTTTAACACTTTAGTATTAATACTTCCAGAGCAATAGCTTTTGAAAAACAAAAATTGAAATAAAATCTTTACATTTTTATCTATGACCTGAATTTCAATAGATTTTAATGGCCTCCACTCTACTGGTGTTTTGAAGGACCCCGAAGACTTCACTCTTTGCCTAGGCCATTGGCAAGTGGGATTGAAGTCCCTTTTTATTCAACATTTATTTTGCTGAAAATTTTCATACCCTTTGTGCTTTGACATGTGCCCTCGGGAATTATAAAAAGCATAGCCTATCAATGCAAAACCTATGAATGTTTCTTTTGACACAATTCTTGTGACCTAAAACCCAAACATAAAATATAAACACATGCCTTAAAATATCTGAAATTATAGACTCGGCTTCTACTTTCAGAAAGATTGGCAGGATCTACCTCAGATAAATAGTGTATCTTATTCCCTGTCTTTACAACATAACTGGAACAGCAAGCCATGCTAAATCATGTCACATAGTGTGTGACTTAGAACAAAACTCCTTCTGAAGTGCTCCCACATAATCAGAGATATTTGAAAACTAAATATGCTAACAATGGCACCAGTGACGTACCCTAGGGTGTGGGGAGGAAATATGACAAATAACCACAACTGTAACCACATCCAGGTTATCACAGCAGCTATGGATGCCTAGAAATAAATCTGAAATTTTCTTAGATTAAGTGAAGTCACTTCATAGATTGGAAGTATCCTAAGATTTGATGAATCCTTTGGTTTCAGTTGGCCTCAGTAGATAGAATTCAACATTAACTGCAATTCTAGTAACAAAATAGTAGCCTTTGTCCAGCACCTTACATTTTTGAACCATAGGAAAAAGAAAAAAATAGATACATTAAATTATTTTTATGGTCATGATTCCTAACTTCAAATGTCCCTAAGACCGCGGTTGAGAATCTGAAAAACTTCTTAATTTTCTCTTAAAGGAAAAAAACAGAAAATGGTTTGTATAACATGGCCTATAACATCAATCCACAGCATATAAAAAAATCAGAATACTTAAGCATTTTTATAATATACCAAACTGAGGCTGTTCTATTTTTTTTTTACAAAGCCCTCATCTCACAGTAAAGTGATCAGTAAAAGTGATCTTGAGAGGAGGGGTACAACCAGACCACCTATAATCCTGTTCCCCCAATTTCCAACAGTTTCAATTTTTAAATAATGAGATAAAGATAAACCAATAAAAAATGTCAAAATGAAATGGTGTGACCTGCCAAAATTCAGTTCATCATTGATTGTCATGTCCTTCATGAAGCATTTGCTAGTGTCTACATGGCTACATGTAGCCAGCTACATGGCTCAAATGTTGCTCATTGACATACATGGTAAGGTTTAGATCAAATATTTGGGGGGGGTTGCATAAAAGAAGTGCTTGTGTCTTTGTGTTTGTTGCAATGTTTGATTGCAATGTTTACAATTATTCTAGAAGACTAATCACTTCCGTGTTGCCAAAGAAACTAAATGGACATATAACCATTGTCAAAATGAAAACTAAGAAAAACTTTAGCTTTTATGAAAAAAAAAAAGACAGAATGGAGTAATATTTGAATGCTTGCATAACTGACACAGATTGTATTTATTTGCTCATCACTATCTAGCAGGGGATACCAGTCAGGCCAACAAAGGCTCACTAAAACCTACCAGGAAAAATATCCCAGACAGATTGATGATGATTGATAGACAGATAAAAGAGTCAGATAATCTTATGATGACCATGTAGACATATCACATAAATTGAGCCACTTTAAATCCAAGTTCATCTGCATATAGAGTCAAAGCAGGCCTAAGGTCTTCCATGTGAAGAAAAGGATCCTTTGTAGAAGTCTAAGAATTGAGGATTACCTCAACAGTACTGCAAGCTAGAGATATTTGTGCTTACATTTTATTTCCTATATGGCAATATTCTGACCTGTGTAATACAATCACTGTTTTCTTTTGCTTCACTAGAATGTGTCTGAAATCATATAGCTTAAGACATTATTTTACTTAAGTTATCACCAGCCATCTTAGATCCTCCCTTTCACTTTAAGGACTATTGAAACAATATGGAATATAACACTGTGGAACTGAAGACACCTCTGGGTTGGAGCCAAACATAATTGCACAAAATCAGCCTAGGTTTGGTCCCCCTGTAGATGATTATACTTTGGAATACTACAAAAGGAACCTCAGGCTTTCCAGTTGCCCTTCTAGAAAAAAGACTTAAGCAAAGCAAAAAGCCATCAATCAGAATACAGGGGAAGGAGTCAAATATATCTGTATCTCACCACTGCAGGTTTTCTTTTTCTTCAGCTGCCAAATAAATGTTATAGGTTTTGTTTTTCACTGTGACACTCAGAGTAATGTCTCCATTTAGCTAAAAGCTGTGGAGCTCGTGTGGTCGTTGTAATGCAGACTGTATTCGCTTACTTTGGTTGCTTCCATAAGTGTTTAGTCTGGAATAAAATCTTCATTCTTTTTTTTTTTTTAAACCAAAGATCTGGATGATATTGCCAACCCACTGCATTCCATTTTTTGGCTCTAATGAACACAATTATAGTTAAATTTTATGTCCATTGCATTATTCAGTCAAAAAGGTTTATATGTTGCCATTCGCTTATTTTATTCAGCAGGAGAGCATTTAGAGGGCCCAGTTCACTTCTGAACATTTGCCCAAAAGGATGATAGGTGGGATTAACTTGAATTTACTTAGCATTTTAATTCCTTGGCAGCATGTATCGTTTGCATACATGCATCCAGGTTCAGTCCTCAACTTCTTCAACCACTGGAATGTAAAGCAGATAATGGGAAGACTCTGACTAAGAATTATTGCCAATAAACAGAACTTGAATGCATCAGACAGAGATTTGATCTGGAATAAGACAGATTCATAACATAATATTAAAATGTGAAAATATATTGCCCTATAATTACATAGAGAGATCTGGAGATAGTACTAGTAAATGATATAAACCAGAGGTGGAATTCAGCAGGTTCTGACCAGTTCTGGAGAACCGGTAGTGGAAATTTTGAGTAGTTCGGAGAACCGGTGGTAACCTTTCCCCTGGAGTGGAGTGGAGTGGGAATGGAGATTTTACAGTAACCTTCCTCTGCCATGCCTACCAAGCCATGCCACACCCACCAAGCCATGCCCACAGAACTGGTAATAAAAAAAATTGAATTCCACCACTGATACAAACATATAATGGAGCTAATGGCATTTCCTGAAAATTGGTGCTTACATCAACTAAGGGCTTGCTATGGTTCTCCCCCCCTCCCCCGTCTCCTGCTATTGCTTCCAAAGAAAAGGAATTAATTCTACCACTTCTTGAATCAGAAGTACCGGGGTGGAAGGGACACATGTTGGCTAATATCGTTTAGCTAACTGGGAATGTCTCTGGGATGGGGCCATTCATCACATATTCTCCTAGTTTATCAGAAAGGATGCTATGGTCAATTTTTATCAAAGGCCTTTCTGAAATCAGTTTGCTA